CTCATGAACCGTGTGGACGACGTTTATGAAGCTCATCAAGGACCTCCGGCCTGCCGACTTCACCCTGGACAAGCTGGACAACGAGCTGACCGCTATGGCCCTCATCCGGGCGCTCCCTGAGGAGTTCAGCGCCTTCACCTCGTCGCTCCTGCTCCTGGACAAGCTCGATAGCGAGACCATCCGTCAGGCGTTCATTGCTGAAGAAGCCCAGCGCCGTCGTCGCGCAAATGAAACGCCTCCACCGCCGCTTCTCGCCCATTCCGCTTCGACCCCGCCCTCCTGCGACTTCTGTGGCATGAACAACCACGCCATCGCCACCTGCCATGCCTACAGCCGTGCCCAGGCCAACGCCAGGGACAACGTCGTCAAGCGTCGCAAGAAGCGCGGTCAGCAAGCAAAACAAGCGCAAGACTCCGCTCCCACTGATGCATCTGGCCTCCCAGGCCTCTGCAGACGTGGTTGAGTACGCCGGAAATGCAAGTACTCGTCTCCCGGATCCCAGGGATCCCTCCTCTCCGCTCCAGCTCGATGCTGACTTCGATTGGATTGCAGACACAGGCGCCACTTCTCATATGACCCCCCATCGTCACTGGGTGCGGAACTATGTCCCCTGTCGCATTCCAGTCAAGTTGGCAGACCACAGCATTGTCTATGCTGTTGGTATGGGCACAACAGTCTTCCAGCCTGTTGTAGATGGGAGGGCCTCTAGGCCGGTCGAGTTATCACGAGTTTTGCATGTACCAGAGCTTCGGAGCAATCTGCTGTCTTGTTTGTACCTTACCCGGGTCAAGGGTTTCAATATACTCATTTCGTCTTCGCAACTTCGCTTCATTCGTGCTGGTTCATGCCTATTCACCGCCTCCATCCATCCCAACAACTCTGCAACGCTCGATGGCACCACTGCAGCCTCTGTGGAAGCAGCCTCAGCCGCCTCCACTGTCCCTGTCACCCTTGAACTCCTCCATCGTCGCCTCATTCACCACAACCACGCTGATATCAAGCGTTTGCTGGACAACAAGATGGCGACTGGCATTCCTACCATCTCTACCGCGAAGCCTGACCCGGTCTGCGAGCCCTGCATCGATGGCAAGCTCCAGTCTGGCTCCTTTCCCTCCACAGGCAACCGCGCTTCCGCTCCGCTCGATCTCGTCCATTCTGACTTGCACGGCCCCAAGGAGGTCCCTACTCGCGAGGGATACCGCTACTGGATCACCTTCATCGACGACTGCACTCGTTTCCGTGTCGCTGTGCCTCTCAAGCGCAAGAGCGACGCATTCGACGCATTCCGGAGGTACAAGGCATGGGCAGAGAACCAGCTGGGCGCGAAGATCAAGTGCCTGCATGATGACAAGGGTGGGGAGTACATGTCCAACGCGTTTCGCAAGTTCACGGACGACTGCGGCATCGAGCGCCGCCATACGACGCGCAACAGGCCCCAGCAGAACGGAGATGCAGAGCGAGCGAACAGGACGATGAAACGAGGACATCAAGGCCATGCTTTCCGAGTCCAAGCTGCCTCCCTTCGTTTTGGGGTGAGAGCCCTGGCGACTCAGATCAAGATCTGGAACTGCCTGCCCACTGCTCTCACTTCCTGGCATGACGCCTTACGAAGCCTGGTACAAGCGCAAACCAGATCTCAGCATTCTCAGGGTATTCGGGTGCACGGCCTATGTGTTTGTGCAGAAGGACCAGCGCAAATCGCTCCAGCCGCACGCGCAAAAGTGCATCTTTGTGGGTTATCCGCCTGGCTACAAGGGCTGGCGCTTCTACAACCCCACCACCAAGAAGTTCGTCATCTCAGAACGAGCCATCTTCGACGAGCGCTACTTCCCTGGCCTGTCCAGAGCCTCCCCATCGACGTCCACTGTTGTACCGCCGCCTGCTGTTCCTCCCTCACCTCCGCCTGTGGTGCGAGTTCCTCTCCCTCTTGGCGATGAGGAACTGGGGGAGTGTGACGCTCCACCAGTGGCCCCTGCTGCCCCTGCACCTGCGCCTGCACCTGTGCTTGCTTCTCCTGAACCAGAGACCCCTCCTCAAACGCCGCCTCCTCCACCTCAGGCGCCACTCCCTGAACCAACTCCGCCGCCTCCTACGCCTCCCCTCGCTCAGCGTCGTGCACCACGCATCCGACGTCCCCCAGGCGAGTGGTGGAATGGTCAGAGAGCCCACACCGGCCATTCCGAGCGACGACGAAGAGGATGATGAAGACGAGGCTGCTGGATGGGTCACAATCGAGTTTGCAGGTCTTGTCTCAGGCGATCCGCGCAATTGGGTGCATGCTATGAGCGGTCCTGACGCGGACAAGTGGCGGAAGGCTGCCATCGAGGAGATACAGACCCTGCTAGCCAACGGTACTTGGACTTCGGCTGATCTGCCTCCAGGAGTCAAGGTCTTGCCCTGTGGATGGGTCTTCAAGATCAAGTTCAATCCGAACGGCACCATCGAGCGCTACAAGGCTCGTCTCGTCGCCAAGGGCTACTCCCAGCGTCCCGGCATCGACTTCACCGAGGTTTTCGCCCCCACTTACCGTCCTGCTGCGCTCCGGCTCGTCCTTGCCCTTGCTGCAGCTGAGGACATGCACCTGCGCTCTGTGGACATCTCCTCTGCGTTCACCTACGGCGATCTGGATGAGGACATCTACATGGCTCAGCCAGAGGGCTTCAACTTCGGTGCCGGCAAGGTTCTCAAGCTCAACAAGTCGCTCTATGGCCTCAAGCAAGCTGCGAGGCAATGGAACAAGAAGCTCCACACCGTCCTGGGCTCCATGGGCTTCAAGCGCCTCGAATCCGACCGATCCCCTCTACCTCTACGCCCGAGATGACGTCAAGATCATCGTTCCGGTGTACATTGACGACATCACCTTTGCCCTCCAAGTCCACTGCATCCGTTTGACAAGGTCGTTGCAGAGCTCAGCAAGCACTTCAAGCTGCGAGATCTTGGTGAGACTCGCTTCCTGCTTGGTATTGAGATCTCTAGGGACCGCGCCACTCGCTCGATCAGTCTCTCACAGCGCCAGTACATCGTCGACATGCTCAAGCGCTTCAATATGGACGCCTGCAACAAGGTGGACACTCCTCTACCCGTTGGACAGCCTCTGACGAAGGCCATGGGTCCCCAGACCCCTGCTGAAGTCGAAGAGATGCGCAATGTTCCCTACCTCGCTGCCGTCGGTTCCCTGCAGTACCTCGCCACCATGACTCGCCCAGACATCGCCCACGCCGTCAGCTACCTTGCCCGGTTCAACTCGAACCCAGGCCTCAAGCATTGGGCTGCTGTGAAGCATCTGTTCCGCTTCCTTCAGGGCACCAAGGACTACAAGCTGCGCTACTCAGGCCCTCTTCTCCCTGGCATCTTCACGGCCTACTCCGACGCATCTCATGGCGACTGCAAGGATACCGGACGCTCCAGTGGTGGGTATGTGACTGTGGTTGGTGGTGGTGCTATCAGCTGGGCTGCTAAGCTCCAGCCTGTTGTTTCGCTCTCCACATGTGAAGCGGAGTACATTCAGGCTGTTGAAAGCTGGTAAGGAGATTCTCTGGCTTCGCCACCTTCTGGGGGAGCTGGCGTACCCCATCACAACCACTCCACTCGCCTCCTGATCGACAACGCCAGCGCTGTGACAGTCAGCAAGAACCCAGAGCACCATGGACGCATGAAGCATCTCGACTTGAAGTTCTTCTGGCTCCGTGACACTGTGGAGTCTGGTGTCATTGCCCCAGTTCGCATTCCTGGCACAGAACAGGCTGCGGACATCCTGACCAAAGCCCTGCCTGTGCCCAAGGTCAAGGAGCTGCTGCGCCCTACTTGGTCTGGTGGATTCCTGAACTGCCTCAGTCATGGGGGAGTGTTAGAATTCGTGACTTTGGCACTTCCACTTGGTCGATTCCTTCCGTGTTTGGTATCATTCGAACCGTCTTTTCACGCTCTTTCGAACGGTACCCGAGGGACGGAAATCCGTCCAACGGTTACCGAGATATTACCCTTTTACATTCGTTTTGCTAATAACCCCGAAGCCAAGCTTCGTATCGCTTGGCTTCAACCTTGCATGTGTTTACGGATGTACGGAGGCCCGTCCCCCGACGTTTTACCGACCCAAAATGTCTTATATAGTCGCAGCACCACTCTGGAGTCCCCCAGTGCTTTCCCCTCACTGTTGGACTTCAGGTATGTGCTCCCTTTGAATATATTAGTGCTTTCCCCTCACTGTTGGACTTCAGTTCGCTGTTTTAACAGTATCAGCATACAGAAGCTCGGCCACTTGATAGACGTATGGTGGTATGCCGACATTGAGATACAGTGCAATTGTAAATGCTTCCAAAAAGCGCTGGGACTTCTCCAAATAATCATCGAGAGAGATAGAGCTGGTGAGGAGGGTTGAAGTGAGAGCGTTCGACCTGCGAGTTACTGGTGAGATGGAAAAGTGACGGCTCATCCCAATTGTTGCGAGTCAGCAACAGATAAAATTGCCAAATGTTCATCCCATACACTGGCGGGTATCATCGCTTGCAGTTTCTGTTGGACTGTGTTGACAGACCGAAAAGAGTGCAGCTGAATATCGTCAAGGAGGAAGGCTCGGTTCTGGACAGCTCCACAGGTTAAGGTGAAGGCTCCAGGGGCACCAACCTTCGAGGAGAACGGCTCAGACTTGGCATAGGTCGCAATGCTCTTCCGCAGGTGGGCTAGTCTCCCCCCGTACAGGTTGTGCCTGCCACTGCTGTCAATGATGGAGGAGAGTTTGCGCATGATTCTTCGACTTTCGTTAGCCTCGAAAATGCGACACTGATCAAATCACTCACTGGATTGGTGAATGCGGCCGCTGGGGGCTTGACTGTGCACTGAGTGGCTGACTGAAGCAGTTTCTTCACCATGCCCGCCTGAGCAGATGATAGTTGAGACGAGAAGGTGCCCAATTCAGTCAATTTGCCCCTGAGCTTTTTTCTTGCTATTTGGAGTGGCCAGAATCGCATGGGAACAGCAATGAGGCGCAACAGTTATTTGGTTCAACGGATCCTTCGAAAGAGTGTAGAAGCGCGACACCTCTCGTCTGCAGTGGTGCTAAGCCAAGAAAATTAGCACCCAAAGGCACATTCGCCAACATAGATTTGGAGCGTACCTTATGCCCTGCAGGCGCACGAGTGCCAACCTCAGCATTGGCTGCTGTTCGAGTCGGTGCTCCGCATCAGTGAGATACACTGCAATGAGCTGTCGCATGCGAGCCAAGCATTCTTCCGTATTCTGCAAATATTTATCTGCGGCATCATAAGCCCTGGTGTCGGGAGGGAGAGGAGTTGGAGTAAATGCCGAGGCTCGGTCCCCCAGAGTTTTCTCTAGGTGCAGAGCCATTGCACTCGAGTAGGTTACAGCAGGCATCTGAACAGGCACAGATGGACAGTTTTGGGACATTTCTGCCCTGTAGCTAATGTGAGGTTTCTTCCAGAGCTGGATGGTGTACGCCTTTTTGAAGTGGGTACGGCGGGGCCAAATCCGGAGCGTCCGGAGAGCTCTGGTTGGAGTAGTGATCGCACGTGGCGGCACTCACTCAGGACCATGACCTTCCACACTCCATGCACCGGTAAGCCAGTGATGGGTCTGAAAGGCCGAGGATGGGGCCTTCCAGCAACATGGATTGGTGCGTGCCGCTGAACGCTTTCGCTGGTTCTGAGAGGGGGAATGCGCTCTTGATGTGCTGGATAACCTCTGCGTCTGTGAGGCCATGCTTCCGCTTCGACCAGCATGCGCTCGCGGGGAAAAACGATGGCTTGGAGTACCGGACAATAGAAGAGTTGAAAGTACGCAAGGACGGCGCAGCCCAAATATGGTTGGGATGAAGGCAGCGGGTCTGTGCCATGTGAGCAAAGAAACTCGCCAATATCATCGTTGAAGCGGTAGGCATTTTGTTTGTCGACCTTCTTGAGCTTGGGTGCAGCGGGGCCGGTGCCATTTCTGAACGAGGGGTCCATACAGTGCCTAATGATGGTTTCACTGTCGGACAACACGGGGAAAGATTGATGCCCCTCTCCTGCCGTCTTGAGTTCTTGTTGGTGTGAGGCAACTTGCCGGTGATCTGGTATGGCAAGCTGCACTCTGACCTCTGCTGAGCCAGTTGTTTCCAGGAAGAGGGAGATTGCCCATGATTTTCCAGAAACCTGCCGTTTACAGCGAGGGCTTTTCTTCTGGTGCTGCCCAAAGACCGTGTACTACAGCTTGCACTCTGGGCATTGATACCGTTTCTCGGCCAGAGCAAGTCCGGGAATAGGGTAGGTGACAGTCGTGGTTAACCAGTGGGGAAGGAGCTCCTCCAGTGTGGCGAGTGGGAAGTGCTCAGCAATATGGTTGTAGGCAATTTGGCTGTCGAACATAGCCAGCTCCTTGTGGACTTTGAGGCACATGGATAACTCTTCCTTTACCACGACAGACATGTGGGAGAGGGACACGGCACACCCGAGCTCGGAGAGCCAGTATAGATCGAATGCCGCGAGCGCAGCACAGGCAGGCTGGATGGCAGGCGATCTGGGGTCTTTTTCCCTTGCATGCCGGCACAGAACTTGGACACCCTCTCGCGTGTACATGAACGATCCTTCATATGGCACTAGCTTGCCAGAGCTTTTTCCGGTCTTGTCGATAGATGGTAGAGCGCAGATCAGGTGCATAATCTTCAAGAATCTTCCCGCACTATCTGAGTCACACACTCCAATGGCCCCGATCCTCCCGTTTTAGCTTCCTGACATCTGCCTGCCGCTTCGTGCGGGTAATTTCTGTTTTGAGTCAGATAAAGCTAGTAAGATACAAGTGAAGAGTCGCTCACCTTGTGTAACACACGACCATTGCTTTCTGGAGATCATCGACGTCGACGACCCCACCCAACCATGGAACCAACCATTAGGTTCCGAACTGAACCCAATTTGGGTTCGCGACTTTATCTCCCGCCTTCGTCAAATTGGAATTCCGACATGCAACCTCTGCCGAAAGACGGGTCACCTTGCTAGCCGATGCAAGGGCAAAGGTAAACTCCAGGAGTAGTTTAACTCTAGTAGGGGGGTAATGTTACGAACATGAATGCTTACTATACTGTATTACTATACCTACCTCATTTCCACCTTATGTTTTTCATCTCAACTCATCGCCTTACTCATATTTACTGCGCATTGATGACTGCTGACTGATACTCATTAAAAACACACCAAAACCTACATACATTCCGCGGAATACGCATGTTATCCATGAGGACTACGCCTCATGGTTAACACACGTCTTCTAGTATATAAACTCTCTAGTGAAT